AGAGATTTTATGACTATCTAAGGGTTGAAGATGTTCTTATAGTCTTGAGATTCTAACCACACATAACAAAAATATTAAAAAAAAGAGTAATATTTTTCTTTATTCAAAAAGATTAATATTTTTCTTTAGTAAAGAAAGTTTGTGTATTAGTGAAATATTTTCTCAAAATAGTTTTTGACGATGGCTATTCAAAGATGAAAGGATAAACAAAAAAGAATTATGAGAAGAACCATACACTGATTTATATGTGCTTAAAATATGTTACTTCAGATCAAAATTCTACAACATTCTCTCTTTTCAGACCAAAACGATGTCTTTATCTTACACGGCAAAACCTCTCTATTAAATCGAAACGGAAGATTCGATTTATAAACTAGTTTATATGCTTGTAGTCTAATTAAAGACTTGTAACGGTTCTCATATACTTTTATCTGTCTTCATAGGCTGCATCAGAGTTGCAAATTACTGTTGAACCACATTGTGACACCGAGGTCTCCATCAAGACTAGCTTCTCCCTTCCAACTCCCATATGATCATGATCTGCTCTTTTCAGAGCTTGTAAGTACATCTCACCCTTCTACGAGAAAACTTTGTTTTCACACATCCAGAAACAATATTAAAATACTCTTTTATGTAATTGTCATGCAGAATCCGCACCCGAGCTACGGTTTATTCATAAAAGTTTCTTCCATTTCTCATCCATCAAACAACAAACTCAGCTCGGATATGCATTTTGTGGTTGAGTTTCTTCACTCACCCTACATATTCTACTTAGAAATGTATAGTTTTCTTTTGATTTGTTCATAGTTTTTCTTTGATTCTTTCGACCTTATATAGAAGGTATAGGTGAGAAAATAAACCACAAGTTCCTTTTTGTGGGATCTAAAAAGATAGAAAAAAAATGTTTGATGCTCATGTGAATCATTTCGCTTGTTTAGTTTGGTACATTTTAGAGACAGTTTTGTAGAGATAAGATTGAAACCAGTCTGTGTGATACTTCTCTATGTGCTTGTTACTTGAACATATATCATTTTACACATTGAAGCGCATGTCTAAGCTTCCATAAAACATCATTTGCTTACATATATCACCCATTTCACTCATTAGTCACTATATATAACATTGTTCCACTTTTGATATTTCATTCGATCATCTCTCAATCTGAATTGGGCGTTTAACTCGCCCATAAACACCATGCCATGACCCCGTAGGTTTATATTTATACCGAAACCACCTAAAATTTTTTTATTTCAAAATCACCCATTATGCCACGGAGTAAAAAAGGTCTCATAATTGGTGGTATAGTAACGAAGCTTTATTCACTATAAAGACATGAGAGAATTTTAAAAGATTAAACTATTTTTCAAAAATGCTACATTTCTAAATTTTTTTAAAACATGCCACTAATATTATATCAAAAACTCAAAATAACATTTATATTTAGGTTAATTATGTT